AGGCCTCCGAGGTCTGTGGCACCTTCCCATTCGTTCCTCTCTGTGTGTAGAAGAGTGGTAGAATGTAGTTGTTGTAGATCATCTGACAGAGTTCCCATGACATTTACGTGTCCGAATCTGAGGTCTCTTCACGACTGGATCGCACTTACCATACATTAACTTTACTTCATACATAAAATATCAGGTAATGCTCCCGTGACGAATATGTACCGTTGTACTCGTTCCTACTAGGCTCTGGATAAAGTCTTGTTTAAAACTGGCCACCATACGGTGACCACGTGAAAAAGTATCAATCTTATAACAGCTTTATAATCTAGCGTTCCTTTTTTTGCCTATAGCCGTCTTGCTTATTACTTTAATAAGTCCTGCTATATGACACTTGAGAAGTGCATATGCATAAATTTCATAAATTGCATAAAGGAAATTTTTGCACATGCAGCTGTGCACATATCTTGCTGCCCTTTTTATGCAAGTAGCATGCATTTAGGCACTAGGTGTCGGGAGATGCCTAACCACTCTGAGTAATCTATATTCGACACATTTGAGCTTTAACAAGCGCCCAACTAATGCCTCCAGTACAATTGCAGATTGATAGCCATCGTCTAATTCCTTACGGTTTCAATTGACGAATTACTTGCATTACAACTAAACCCCTATCAGGCTCTTTTTTGGTTCCAGGCGCGTATCGTTTCTCGCGCTTGAAAAGAAGAAGTTTGTTGACAAAGGACTAACTAGTGTCACTAGAGATCGCTTAGCCTTTCGCCTGTTTATGTTCATAAAAAGTCGAGCCGGTATCGGAAAGTACTTTTTCTTAAGAAACGCGGTTATATAGTTCGTCTTTTTGTTGTTTGTGTTAGTTTTGCTGCAACGCTCATCCAGACGAGATTTGTGAAACATAAATTGTTGTGATTTGTAACCAATGAAATCTCAGCAACTCTGTGTGCCTAAAGGACAAGCGATGTACATATGTATATCCACGAAGAATACTTAGAGATTTATCTTTTGATCTTGAGATGACTAAATCCTCCTGCGTTCACATGTCATCCATCAAAATTGCATTCTAGTCGATAAGTTTAATATTATGTATCTAATCCTGTAATTGATTAACATTGCACTACCATTGAAAACAATATTTTGCAACAGGCATGGCGGTCACCGGTGGTCGTTACTTTGGCGAACGTATGTCATATGCCTCGGGGGCACCCCGTTCCAATGGGCACGGTCAAGTGGTGATTTTTAATAAAGCCAATACCAACCCCATACCCGTAAAAATGATACTCGAAGGGGAACAATTTGGCTCTAGTTTTGGCTATGAACTCACAACTGCCGATATCAATGGCGATCAGAAACCAGATCTTATCGTTGCTGCACCATTTTACTTTAATAAATCCGAAGGCGGTGCAGTCTATATTTACCAAAATGAAAAGGACATGCTGCCAGCGAAACCAACACTGAAGCTAACCGGAACGGTGGAAAGTCAATTTGGACTTGCGCTCGCCAATATCGGTGACATCAACAAGGATAACTGCGAAGA